ATAATAAAATGCTTGTAGTATAACACATTATTTCTAGCTTTGATTAGGGGTGTAAGCAAAAAAAAAAAAAAATTGAGTTGTTTTTGACATATTTTTAAATCGAATGGTTTAAAAAAAAAAAAATTACAATAAACCAAACCGTTCCAAATGATTTGAGAAAAATTGAAACCTAAATCAAATGGTTTAGTTTGAACTTAAACAACAATTTCGTTGTACATAGGACACCAACTTATTTAAACGGAACATTCATGATTGATTGGTTTGATCAAATTATGGCTTTTACTTGTGAGAGACAATTAGACAAATGACTAAATTGCCTATATTTATTTTAAAATTTTTACAGTCATTACTTTATTTTGAGCAGTGTTCTAAAATGCGTAATGCATTGCGATGCGTCGAGGCCGAGAATCAAGAATCACAAGTTTAGACATGTCAATGCGAAGAATAAGCGTCATAATGTGTTTCGTATTTTTAACGCATTAAATATATTTTTATATAANATTTAATGTATTTTTAAAAAAAAAAATAAATTTTTTACAAAAAAAAAAAAAAAAAAAAAAAAAATTGGGCGGCATAATGAGTGCCTAGGTCGCATAATGCACGCATAGGCGCTCACATTGCGCCGCCTTTTAGATGGAGAACGCATTTTCCCGTGCATTCCCGAATTTGACGATTTTTGGCCGGGCGTCGCGCCTAGGCGGCGCATTTGCGCGAATTTTAGAACACTGATTTTGAGGTATATTTTATGCTTTTAGAAGTCTGATCGTTGTCCAATGTGGACCAATTTTCGTCGAAAATTTCATTTTCATTTATTTTTGGTTTTGTTTCAAATTGCATTAAAATCACTACAAAAACCACATATCTGTGTGTACAGGCAAAAATCACAAAATCACTACAAAAATAGTCGGAGAAACCACTAGATTGAAAGCCCGCAGAAGCACAACATCGCGAGAAGAGACACAGCGTGGCGTTGCTCAGGGCTGCGCATACGCGTGTAGAGGCATCACACTGTAGTTGCGAGAAGCGACAACTTCGCCTCCGATGCTGCGCCTCAACACCGGAGGTGCCAATGTCTCCGATGCCACCCTCAACTCCTCTAATGTTGCGGAGAAGAGAAAATGGAGAGAAGAGTTGTTGAAAATGAATTAGGGTTTAGAATATATGAGGTGGGGTTGGTTGTGGGGTAGGATGAGTTGTGTAGATTAATTTAAATTGGGTGGGGGTGGATTTGTAGATTATTTAATTTTATAGTATTATTATTAATATTTAAAAATTATAATATCATCTGATTTTTGTATAAAAAAATTTTTAAATTTGAATTTTGAAGTTAGAAATTTAAAAAATTTGGTTGAAATGTTCACATGTCCATGTCGCTTCAATAATCAAACTGATGGTTTCGCTTACATCCCTAGCTTTGATCGAGAAAATATATTTTTTATTTTTAAAAGTCCTTATTAACTTATAAGTAAAATTTGGCGATCCTAGGCAAAGATGCTCTAGCTTGCTCTCACCAATAGCAAACCGCTAACCAGCCGGCAGCCGACCTAGGAGGCTCAAAAAAATTATAAAAAGGACCAGAAACCTAGGAGAGTTTCATACCAAAATACTTAGCCTAAGAAAAAAATGGCTCCGATTTCAGGCCGAGGCTCAAAAAAATTATAAAAAGGACCAGAAACCTAGGAGAGTTTCATACCAAAATACTTAGCCTAAGAAAAAAATGGCTCCGATTTCAGGCCCCCACTTCATAATTTTCCCTTTCATGTCTCAAGGCCACACCATCCCTCTTCTCTATCTCGGTCGCCTCCTCCGGCAGCGTTCTGTCGCCGTCACTATTTTCACCACAGCCGGAAACTCTCCACGCATCCGGGATATTCTCCATGACACTGATATCAAACTTCTTGAACTCCCATTTCCACAAGAAATAAATGGTGTACCTCCTGGTGTTGAAAACACTGATAAATTGCCATCCATGGCTTGTTTTCTCCCTTTTGCAATTGCCACAAAAAATATGCAGCATGATTTTGAAAAAGCCATTCAAAATCTTCAGCCTGTTTCCTGCATAATATCTGATACATTTCTTGGCTGGACTCAACAATCTGCTACAAGATTTGGGATTCCTC